AGGATTTGCTGTGTTGCAATGATGAGAGACTAGTATGCTATTTATAATAAAACCTAACATACTAACTAATGGGCTTTTTCCACAAGGCCCATTATACAAGCTAACTTAATAAACAAGCTAACTTAACAAATTAGGGTTTAAACACTAACACCTAATTTAATAAGCATCTTCGACAAATACATGCTAGACCCTTTCTTCGACTACAGCATGTACTTCGATCATACTAGAGTTCGATCCAATATCCCACAAATCTCCACCTTGGACCTAACTCTACAGCATCAAGAGACATTAACTAGCTTTCTTCATGCAACTTTATCAACTGCATACAGTGGAAAAACTTGCAACTTGGCAATGTTTTGGTGATCATATCAGCGGCATTGTGTTCTGTCGAGACCTTCAGCACTTGGACTTCTCCACGCTCGATTACCCCTCTGACGAAATGCAGCCTCACATCTATGTGCTTGGTTCGCTCATGATAGGCTGAGTTCTTCGACAGGTGTATTGCACTTTGACTATCACATTTAACAGTGATACCTTGACCTTGAAGTTTCAGTTCCTTTGCAAAACCTTCAAGCCACAATGCTTCTTTCACAGCTTCAGTTAGGGCAATATATTCTGCTTCAGTAGTTGATAAGGCAACAACCTTTTGAAGAGTTGCTTTCCAACTAATTGCTGTACCAAACATAGTGAAAACATATCCAGAAATAGATTTTCTGGAATCCATACAGCCTGCATAATCAGAGTCAACATAGCCTTCGACAGCTGCTTTACTATCTTCACCCAAGGCTCCACCATAAATTAAGACTCTGTTCAGAGACCCATTTATGTACCTTAGAATCCACTTTAACGCTTTCCAGTGAGCCTTTCCAGGATTCGCCATGTACCTGCTTACAAGACTTACTGCATATGCTATGTCGGGTCTAGTACAGACCATAGCATACATCAAAGAACCAACTATATTAGCATATGGGATGCTGTTCATATAGGTTCTTTCGACATCAGTACTGGGACATTGATCAATGCTCAGCTTGAATTGAGGGTTTGTTGGAGTCACAACAGGCTTTGAATTCGACATACCAAACTTGTCAAGAATCTTTCGTAGGTATGCCTCTTGAGATAAGCATAATTTCGACTGCTTTCTATCTCTTCGAATGTCAATTCCAAGAATCCTAGATGCAGCTCCCAGATCCTTCATGTCGAACTCCTTATTGAGTTCAGCCTTCACCCTCATTACATCTTCGACATTGTTGCTTGCTATCAGAATATCATCAACATAGAGCAACAAAATAACAAATGAATTTTCAGGTCGAAATCTGGAGTAAACACAATGGTCGAACTGACTTCTAATGAAACTTATGTGTTCCATGAACTTGTCGAATCTCTTATTCCACTGTCGAGGAGATTGTTTAAGTCCATATAAAGATTTCTTCAGTTTGCACACATAATCTTCTTTCCCCTTTTCGACATACCCTTCAGGTTGCCTCATCAGGATTGTTTCGTCTAAGTCACCATACAAGAACGCAGTCTTCACATCCATTTGTTCCAGTTCAAGGTCGAACTGAGCCACCATGGCAAGCAACATTCGAATGGATCTGTGCTTCACAACAGGGGAAAATACATCATTGAAGTCGACACCTTCTTTCTGAGTGAAACCCCTTGCGACTAATCTTGCCTTGTACCTCTTCGACATTACTCCTTCAATTCCTTCCTTAACTTTGAAAATCCACTTACAGCTGACTAACCTTGCCCCAACAGGTTTCTTGATCAGTTCCCAAGTGTGATTATCATGAAGAGATTTCATCTCATCATGCATGGCCTTTAGCCATTCAGTCTTCATTCGACTCCTTATAGCTTCCTTATAATCTCTAGGTTCTTCGTCTAGAACTTCACTTGCAGAGATTAAGGCATAAGCTACAAGATCTGCATATCCAGGTCTCTGAGGTGGTTTTATGACTCTTCTTTGCCTATCTCTCGACAATAGGTAGTCATCAACAGTTTCCTCAACATCATCAGAATCTTCTGTTTCTTCTTCGACTTCATCTGGGATACGCATTTCAGCATCAACATGCTCCACCTCAACAGGAATCTCTACCTGTTCCAGCTCTTCGTCAACATCATCAGTTTTCTTGAAAGCCATTTCAGTTTCATTGAAAACTACATCTCGACTGGTGATACACCTCCTGTGACCTGGCTCTAGGCACCATAGCCTATAAGCTTTCACTCCTTCAGGGTATCCCATAAACATGCATTTCAGAGCTCTAGGTTCGACCTTGTCTTGCCTAATGTGAGCATAGGCTACACAGCCAAATACTCTTAGTTTGTCGAGATCTGGTGGATGTCCCGACCAAACTTCTTCGGGTGTCTTCATATCTAACGCTGTCGAAGGACATCTGTTTATCAGATATGCTGCTGTCGAAACAGCCTCAGCCCAAAACACCTTCTTTAATCCAGCACTAGTCAACATGCATCTAACTCTCTCCAAAATAGTTCGATTAAACCTTTCAGCCAAACCATTTTGTTGTGGAGTACCTGCGGTCGTTCTGTGCCTTGCAATACCAGAGGCAACACAAAAACTGTCGAACGCCTCATTGCAAAACTCAAGGCCATTGTCGGTTCTCAACCTCTTTACCTTTCTGCCAGTTTGATTTTCGACAAGAGTCTTCCAACTTTTGAAATTTTCAAAAGTTTCATCCTTAGTCTTCTGGATGAATACCCATAACTTTCTGGAATAGTCATCTACTATGGATAGAAAATACTTTGCTCCTGAATGTGATGGACACCTTGCAGGCCCCCAAAGGTCAGCATGGATGTAATCAAGGGATCCATGTGTTCTTTGTTTGCCTTTGTTGAACTTCATTCTACAGGACTTTCCAAGTACACAGGGTTCACAAAACTTCAGCTTTTCGACTTTATCTCCACCAAGCAGATTTTGTTTCCCTAATTCGACCAGACCCCTTTCACTGACATGGCCCAATCTCATGTGCCAAATTTCTGTCTTCGACAAAGGTTTCGTGGATGCAACATTTGTCGAACCACTTACAACTTCAGCCTCAAGGGTATACAAGCCTTGTTTCTTCACGCCTCTCAAGACTTCCTTCGACCCTTTCATGACTCTCAGGATACTTTTCTCTCCTTGAAACACATATCCTTTCTTGTCGAATTCACCAAGAGAAATCAAATTTCTCTTCAAATCAGGTACATACCTGACTTCAGTCAACAATCTTATTGACTCATCATGGAGCTTGAATCTCACAGATCCAACGCCTGCAATCTTGCAAGCTTTGTTGTTTCCCAGCAATACAGATCCACCATCTTGATCACATAATTCCTCGAACAAGTCTTTGTTTGGAGTCATGTGCCAAGTGCATCCAGAATCCATAATCCACTCCTTCGACGAGTTGTTGCTTGAAACCACAAGAACATCAGATGATTCGAAATCATCTTGGACAATAGCTGCATTGCCATTATCCTTACCTCCATGATCTTTCAGGCGTTCAGGGCACACCTTTCTTGTGTGACCTACTTTCTTACAGTGATAGCATCTAATACCAGATGTGTCACCACTATAAGACTTCGACTGATTTTTACCTTTCCTCTTGTCGAATTTTCCTTTAACAGCCAAACCTTCACCAACCGTCGAAGGTTTATGCTCCTTGCGTTCGTTCAAGTCCTTAGAGTACAAGGCTGATTGAACTTCTTCAAAGGTCAGGGACTCTCTTCCATACAAGAGGGTTTCTTTGAAGTGAGCATGTGATCTGGGCAAAGCGCACAACAATAACAGCGCTTGATCTTCATCATCAATCTTTACATCAATATTTTCAAGATCAAGAATCAGTTTGTTGAACATATCCAACTGCTCAGCCAACACTTTGTCTTCAATCATCTTGAACGAATACAAAGCTTGCTTCAGGTAGAGTCGATTTACCAGAGATTTGGTCATATACAAACTTTCAAGTTTCACCCATAACCCTGATGCCGTCGTCTCCTTTGATACCTGTCGAAGAACCTTATCACCAAGGCTCAACAAAATTGCGCTGTGTGTTTTCTCGATCATGGCCGTCTTCTCTCTTTCTGTTAACGCAGCGTCCATCGCCGTCGCTCCCTTCAACGCTTCCAAACAACCCTGCTGAACCAGTAGGGCTTTCATCTTTAAGCGCCATAGACCGAAATCATTCACTCCGGTGAACTTTTCAATCTCATACTTTGTTGAAGGCATCTTCTCCACGCTCACCGCACCAATTTGTTGTGAATTCAATGCCAATAACTAAGTATAGAATATAGGGAGGAATAACTTAACAAGGAAGAAGAAGAACACAAGAATTGGTTATAACTGCTATTCTTTACTTTCTCTTAGAAAACAAGATTACAAGTTTACAAGAATATCAAATAACCCTCTCACCCTAAATTAGGATTTGCTGTGTTGCAATGATGAGAGACTAGTATGCTATTTATAATAAAACCTAACATACTAACTAATGGGCTTTTTCCACAAGGCCCATTATACAAGCTAATTTAATAAACAAGCTAACTTAACAAATTAGGGTTTAAACACTAACACCTAATTTAATAAGCATCTTCGACAAATACATGCTAGACCCTTTCTTCGACTACAGCATGTACTTCGATCATACTAGAGTTCGATCCAATATCCCATAGTTGCAAAAGGACTTTCTAAGGGAGAAGGAAGGTGAATTGGATGTCGTGGGACTAAGTTTGTATAGAGAAATCAAAAAGAGGGTTAAGTGTTAAACATTGCGAAGTTTTTAATTCGGCTTTTTTGGTTAAATGACATTGGAGAATTCTTAATGAGAAGGGATGTATTAGATATAACTTAAACTTAATTCCTTAAGATCTACATTCACACAAACCACTCGTAACAATATCACAATCTATAAACAAAATTAAAACTATTCCAAGAGAGACAAATCAAAATTCACATAAAAGCAAGCATATATTAATATATGACTCCTAATTTCACAATGTGATACTAGTAAAAATATTTATTTATTTTTCTTTTCTGAATGTTCCTTTTCCATTTGTTCAAACAAGCTTCCATCATAAACAGCACGAACTGTTTCCTTGTGAAGTAAACCATTCTTATCTTTGCAAAGAACATATAAAATTTTCCATTCTGTGTAGCTAGCAAACCTGAACATCAAAGTATTGCAATAATTTATTATATACATAAGTATAATATATTCACGAATAAATAATCAAAATAAATTCACTATGTATGGTATATATGATAATAAATAAATAAAAGCATACCATCCTTTATAATCCTTAGGCTCTCTATTTGCCTTTAACAACCCCATCAATTCATCAGATGTTAAAGCACCTGGATTCTTTTTTGCATGCTTGATGAAAATCTCTTCAAATTTTGAAGGAACAAACCTAAAAAAAATAGATTTCAAAATATCAAACATTATGAATCATATAATGTTTAGTGAAAAAATAATTATTTAAAATTTTATTTTATATAAAATAATAATATTACCTTCCTAGGCTATCATAGACACCAGAGTCACTTCCATGTTTTGCTTTCTCAATATTTTTAATTTCTATTGGTAGAAATATAGAAGGAAATTTTCCCTACATAATCATAAAAGTTAGAGTTAATGAATCTAAATTAGTAGTAATTTTCAAGCATTCTTTTTCTTGACACTTTGAGTGGAAGGAAAAAAGAAAGAACAAAATATGGTTTTTCCAACTCATTATCTCTTATCTCTTCAACCTTTATAATTTTATTTTGTGAACTAAAAAATTAGTAATAAATTTTGAATTAGTATTGAAAAAGTGAAAATTTTTAATTTAATTATATTCGTTCCATTTAAATATATTTTGACTTTTTTTTCGTTTTTTTATACTTGATCTAACTTTATTATATTCTCTTTTGAAAAGACATAGTGTACTTTATGTATTAAAATTTTAAAATTAAATTGCAAACATCAAATTCAATATTTTTTATTCTGTTACATGTCGGCAGATGAATCAAATTCTATTGTATCAAAAAATGGAATGGGTTAATGTTAATAATTAAAAATATAAAAAAACATACCGGACGAGTTTTCTGACTGAGACCAAAATTTATAAAAATACAAGCAACCGACGATAACAAATATCCACAACCTATTGCTCGAAATCCTGTAATTAAGAAAAATTATTCATAAATTATTATAAAATAAAAATGATTAAACTGAATAATTAGGGTTAAGATTGTTAACAAAAAATTGATAATTAGAAGAAAACAAACCCTAACCTTGGAACGTTTCCCATGGATAAACGATACCGTCATGGTTTCGATCGAAGAACGCAACGTGTTTTTGCAGAACATTTTCATTTGGATCTATTTTTTTCGCTGCACGTTTTATGTTTAAATTAACACGTTAACATAAATTAAATGCATCAAAATTAATATAAACACAGAAAATTAAGTATTAGAATGTTGAGATACCTTTGTTGTTTGACATAGAAGATAAGGTTGTCGTAGATATATTTCTATTGAGAGAAGGAGAGATATTTGAGTGCAAAGAAAGGAAGAAAAAATTGATATGAAGATGAATTGTTATTATTATGATGTTGATTAGTAGTATATATAGAGATGAGAATGTGATTTATTATTATGAAGATTGTGATTTCGTAATGAAAACCGCTATGGTTTGATTATGTTATATGTATGTATCTGAAAACTTGCGTTTTATTCTTTCTTTTTAGCACATTCTTTTCTTAATTGGAAAGGTATTGGTTTCCCATGGTTTTAAGGAAAAACATAAACTATTAATTTTTTCCTTGGTAAAAGTATGCTTTAAATCCTTCATTAACAAAAAAAAAAAAACATGCGTGCTTTAAATGCAATGAATTTGTTTTATATTATTTTTCTTTTTCTTTTCTTTTTTAGTCAAATTATTTCTCTTTTTCTATCAAGATTATTAACAATCTTCTTTTTTGTTATTACCGTAAGCATGCATCTATATCAAAAAAATATAAATGGTGCATTCTGTACGTTTAGGTTCTCTTTTTTTAGTTTTATGTACTTTTTAAAATAATCATTAAGAAAAATGCTATATTAAACTAATAGAACAATCACGATTGATGTGTCCTATATTTGAATTTTTTAATGTATCATATATTTTAATTGTTTTAATAATTTATTATTGTTGGAATAAAGACTTCAAAAAAGATGATTTTGTGAAAACAAGAAGAAGAAAAGAGAGAAAAATTGTTCCGAGTTAGTTAAGTGTAATTAACTATCTAATTGAATGTATATTATTGCTCTTGCTTTCTACAAACATAATGGCCCTTTATATAGACAAAATGCGTAGGCCCAAATACATGCTAAAAGCCCAAATAACTACATAACAAGAATTAACCAACTAACACACCCCGTAATTCATATTATCAAGACTTCTCATCCCAATGTCTTTCTTTAACTCTTCAAACCTCACTTTTTTAAGAGGTTTGATGAATATGTCAGCTAGTTGTACTTCTGTCTTGCAATATTTTATTTCAAGCTTCCCTTTGTTGACTTGATCCCTCAGAAAATGATACCTTCTTTCAATGTGCTTACATCGACCATGACACACTGGGTGATTCGCAAGGTTTATAGCTGACTTGTTATCAACAAACAGCTTCATCTTCGATTCTATTATTATGAGTTCTTCAAGTAGCATTTCGATCCATGCTGTTTGGCATGCAGCATATAATGCAACCACATATTTTACTTCACATGATGACAAAACCACAATGCTTTTCTTCCTTGAACTCCAGGAGATTGAAGCTCATTCGATCATAAAAATGTATCCCGCAATACTCTTCTTTTCGTCTTGATCTCCACTGAAGTCTGAGTCAGTGTATCCATGAACTTCAACATTTGAGTTGTTCTTTGATTTCTTTGGTAACAGCACACCATGATCAATAATTCCCTTTATGTATCTCAACAACTTCTTCACTGCAATGAGATGACATTCTTAAGGCTTCTCCATAAATCTGCTCAACAATCCTACACTTTGACAGATATATGATCTAGTATTGCAAAGATACCTCAAAGATCCAATGATTTTTTTGTAAAGGGTCGAACTTACAAACTCATCATTTTATTCCTTTTTCAGCTTTGCTCCAGTCTCTAATGGAGTAACAAATGCCTTACAGTTGCTCATATTGAACCTCTTCAGTATATCTTGAGCATACTTCGTTTGATGCAAAAAAACTCCTTCTTCGATGTCTTTGAATTCCATTCTCAGGAAATAAGAGAGATTCCCTAAATCAGACATTTCAAATTCCTGCATTAACTTCGACTTTACCTTCATTATCTCAGCTTCGTCTGCTCCTGCAATGAGTAAGTCATCAACATAGAGACATAAAATGATTCGATTGACACTTTCGACATCATTTACATATACTTCATGTTTAGAGACACACTTTGTGAAACCTGCTTAGATTAGGAAGCTATCTATTCTTTTATTCCAAGCTCTAGGAGCTTGCTTCAAGCCATAAAGAGCCTTTCTTAATCTGTAAACTTTCGACTCCTACCCTTTGACATCGAAACCCGGTGGTTGAGTACCGTAGACTTCTTCTTCCAATGGACCACTCAAAAATTGCTAAATTTACATCAAGTTGGTGCGTTTTCCATCCTCTACATGCAGCTATTGAAACAACAATCCTGATTGTTTTGATCCTTGCAACAAGCACATATACTTCATCAAAGTCAATACCAGGTTTTTATAGAAAACCTCTGGCCACCAGTCTTGCCTTATACTTTGCAATCTCACCATTTGGCTTTCGTTTCACCTTGTAGATCCATTTCACATAAATTGGTTTCTTGTTGGTTCTTTCGGCAAACTCCCAAGTCTTGTTCTTCTCAATGGCTCTAAGTTCTTCTTTCATGGCTTCTGTTGTACCCCAAAATTTTCCCTCCCATATTCTTCAAGAAATTGCCAAGTCATGCTTCAAAAGTCCCCAAGGGTTGCACAGTCAAGGGCCTCCTAAGCAGGCAAAATTAGGGTTTTGGTTCTGATCAGGAAAATTAAGTTTCCAAGGGCCCAATCAAGTCTCACATGCCTACAAATATGGTCAAGCATCCTCATATCAAGTTTCAAGACTTTCAGCACAAAATTGCACAGTCAAAAACCCTAATTGCACTACAGTCAACTGTAGGGGCAAAATGGTCATTTGACAGTCAAAAGTTCAAATTTTTGGTCAACATATCATTTTGAAGCCACAAACATCATTTGATCAATACTTGATCATGATTCTCAGAACTTGGCTCAAAAATCATCAAGATGCAAAAGTTTCTATTTTTGGACAGTTGAAAAAGTCAACTGAAATTGACCAGGGCATAACTTTCACATGGTTCATCAGAAAAATTCCATCCAAAGCTCATTTTGAAGAGAAAGACATTTCCTACAACTCATCTTCATACTTCAAGTCCAAGAAATGCTCTCACAAAAAGTTATCAATTTCAACATTATAGGTCATTTTCAAAAGTCAACAAAAAGGGACTTTAAGTCAAAGGCCATAACTTGAGATTGGTAAATCCAAATGACATGAAACCAAAAACATTGTTTAGAGGACTTCAAGACCTTTCTAAAATGTCCAAGAACATGAGCAAAGCTTAAAAATTGAGCAAGTTATGCATTGGAGAATTTGGGAAATTTTTGTGAAATGGCCAAAATCATTTATCCTTGAAATCTCATTTTTGACTAAAGGGGCCCACTTTTTCCACTTGAATTAACTTGGCCATGCTTCCCACGTGTCCCACCTTTTATTTCAGATTTTTTTATTAATTTTTTCATTTTTATTGATTTTATTGGATTTAATTAATTTTAAATCTTTTAAAATCAAAAGAAATTCAAAAATTAATTTAAAAGGGAATATTTGGCCTTAACTAGCCTTGAAACATCATTATGTGCCTACCAAAATTCGTGCAAGGGAGTAAACAAGGCAAGAATTCAAAATGAGGCAAAAATGGAAAGTGTGATAATGGTGGTTTATGTGAAAATCCAAAACATCAATGCAAGGCTTTATTGGCTATAATTCTCATTCATACACATTGCCTAAGAGATATACAAAGGATCAGAAACCATTTTGGACAAGAAGCTGCGCAGGAATCTTGAGAGCAAACTTGAAAAATTAGCAAAAAAATTCAAAACTGAAAACCCTTTTGCAGGTCGATTCAAGGCTTAACAGTCGTTCAAACACCTTCCTGAAGGTCCATTGAAGGTTTTCCAATCACAAACATTCACTCAAACTCCAAGAATTGGTAACAGGAGTGCCCACTGTATCAAGAAGAACTCATAATCGTATATCACGATTCATGCATCCTTTATAGTTTTTAATGCTTGATTTACATTCCTTGTGAAATTTTGAAGCTAACCAATGCATTCAATTATGTTTTTATGCTGTATACACGATTTCACCATGTTTGCGTTTTAGGGTTTACAGGACCTCCAATTGGGGATTTTGTAATGGGGAAAAATTAGCCCTCAAGACTACCACCATTAGACTCAGCGCATGGGGACGAAGAAGGAGCAACTATCGCGCCTAATTTATGGACCCTCTAAGACCTATTCGCTATTTTCCCATAAGCCACCTAAAACAACGCGTGCAAAACCGTTGCCCCATGTTTTTGTATTTCAGGGATGATGAAGAAGATGAGTCCGTGGCAGGATGTGATAGGTCCTTTTGAATTTCGCGCGCAGAAACCCCACTAGCGTTTGTTTTCATTTATTATATTTGTTAGCTATTATATATTAAACATATGTGAATTGGCTCAGTGGTAAGAAAACGCGTTTGCAATGTCCATGACCTGGGTTCGAGCCCCAGGTCTTACATGTTCTCATATTATTTTTCAATAACAATTCCCATGCAGCGCCAGCATCAAGACGCACCATATGCCCTCAGGAATCCAACATCCACGTGCCCCTGGAGATCAGATCAAAGGCTGAGGATTGATGAGCACCTTAAGCTTGAGTCAACGTGCCAGCATGTGAGCAAAAAAGTCCACAAAGTCAGAAATTCCAATGGGCCAAAATCTCCATGATTCAACCTCCAAATTAGGGGCTTCACCCCCTTAGGTTTTGCAATCTTTTTTTTTCTTTGTTCTTTTTTTATTATTTTTATATTCTTTTAATTGTTGCTTTCTTTTAATTAATTAATATTTTCAAAATATAAAAAAACACATAAAAATCAGAAAAAAGAGAAAAAATAATAAAATATTTTATTTTAAGTATTTTCATAAATAAATTTGTATGTAATTAATTTAGATTTAATGTTAGGTTATAATTTAATTCTTTTTTCACAATAAACCAAAAATAACAAAAATAGGCCTTTAGCACTTTTTATCTTTTTTAATTAATTAAATATTTTTATTATAAATATCATTAACCATTAATTTTGTAAATAAATTTTATAATTAATTAGTTTTAATTTTAGGTTTTAACTTTAATGCATTTTCTTTAATAAATTAAAAACA